TATCTATCTATCTATCTATCTATCTATCTATCTATCTATCTATCTATCTATCTATCTTATTTTTTGAAACAGGATTTCACTGTGTAACACAGTCTTGGAACTAGCATTGTATAGACTATACTGGACTCAAACTCACAGAGATTTGCCTGCCTCTGCCTTCTGAAGTGCTAGAATTAAAGGAGTGCATCACCACTGCTCATATATATGTATATATGTGTGTATATATATATGTATATATATATATATATATATATATATATATATATATATATATATATATACATTAGACAGGGTTTCTCTGTAGCTTTTTGGAACCTGTCCTGGAACTAACTCTTGTAGATCAAGCTGGTCTCGAACTGACAGAGATCCGCCTGCCTCTGCCTCCCAGGTGTTGGGATTAAAGGCGTGCACCACCACCGCCCCGCCTCATATCTTATTTTAAAAACAGAATGATCCCATGGGAGTCCCTCATCTTTGTAGTAATCTACCAACCAACTTGTATCTGTACTGAACTGTTGGAATGTCCGTCCTGCTTTTTCCTGCTAGCACTGACAGGATTCCCCTAACCTTTGCTGACTCATCCCCACCAGCATATGCTCTAGTATCTTCACATCTGTATGTGCAGGCCTCATGGTAAAGCACATGCTGAACTTGATCAAGGCTCCAGCTCAGTGACCAGCACTGCAAAATAATACAATCCTTGGTTGCTCACATCCTCTTCCAATAGCCACCATATTTTCTTGCTCTTCTTTTTTCTAATCTTGTCCTTCTATGTTACCATCCCATCATCTTTCATCCAACTGGGCTTCAGGCCACAATTCTCCAAAACTGTCTCCATTTCAATCCACTATTTCAATCTCAAACTCTCACATCAGTATCCGACTCAACTGACCAATCTGGGGGTTGAAAACACAGTATTCTCTTGGCTTTCATGACACCACTACCTATAGGTTGTCAATCTACCTCAAGGGCCACTCTCTCCATCTTGATGGCCTTAGTTGATCCCTCTTTCTCTTGACTTCTAAATGAAGACTCAGTTCTGGACCACTGCCTGTCTAGGTTTCATCTGTTCCATGGCTTTAAACACCATTCACATGTTCATGATAAACAAATTCTATCCCTACTCCTGACTTATAGTACTTTAGATTCTGATACTCATTGCCTCATTATCTTTACTTGGAAACCAAAGAAGCAGTTAAAACAGGGAATGGAGATATGGCTCAGCAGTCAAGAACATATGTTCAATTTATAGCACCCACATGGTTTCTTACTCCAGTTCCATAACTCTTGTTCCAGGAGATCCAGTGTCTGATTCTGACCTCCACAGCATCAGGCATGCAAGTGGAGGCTGGGATCAGAGGTACAATGACGTACACATACAGACAAAACACTCATACACAGAAAATAAAAATAAAAATAAATAAGGTGGTGGTGACACAGGCCTTTAATACCAGCACTCAAGAGACAGAGGCAGGTAGATCTCTGAATTTGAGGCCAGCCGGTCTACACGGTGAGCTCCAGGAAAACTAGGGCCATTATACAGAGAAACCCTGTCTCGAAAAAACAAATAATAGAAAAATAAATAGTTCAAACATACGGCAAAAACAAAACTTAAAATTCTGTCCCCATCTGTGTCTTTCATTACCCCTTCTCTCAGTAAAATGCAACACTATCCACATAGCTACTCCAACCAAGATTCTAAGTTTCTTTCCCCATGTTTCTAGTATCTTTTATTTATCTTCTCTGTCTTGCACAATTCCATCTCCCAAATAAATCCTGATGTCATCCCTTTTTCTCCATCTCATAAGGCTCCATTAGAAAAAGACCTTGCCTGTCATGTCTCTTTTGTCTATATAATACTTAGAAAGGTGTCTGACACAGCACTTTGAATGAGCACTGCATCTAGCTATCACACAGCTTCTAGAAACCTTCAAAGAGTGTGGGTACATAAAGAACACAGTTCTTACTGTCAGGTAAAGCAGACAAAGCCATATGAGAAATAATCATAGTCTTGGTCCTTACGAAAAGAATATAACCCATTTTTTCTTGAGATGAGAGAACATGTTAACTAAAAAATAAATTTGTATCATATATGGAAATTATTGATACAGAGGCCAATTAGGATTTCTGTAAAATGGCCTCTTCTGACTTTTCTGGCATATTTATACTTACTTTGTAAAATCTTTCTGGCAGGTCAGAAGTTCCAGTAGGAAAAGTATATACGGTGGATGGAAGCAGTGAGGCTGCCCAAGGGATTCTGTACAATACTGAATTATCCTCAGGACTTCAAGGATGCTCTGTGCTTGGGCTTTCCGCAAAGAAAGAACCTTCACAACACTGAAAACACAGTTCAAGTCAGAGATGCCGGAAAACAAACCCTTCCCCCACAGTCTGAAGCCAAATGAACAAAAGTCAGTCCCGATAGAAGGGACTGGGAGAGTCAGAATGAGCACTACCTATAGTCAACACTTGGTGGCGCCACAAACCAGCGTGCACCAAGTATGAAGAAGTGCAACAGCTTATTTATTTATTTTTAAGATAAATAACTAAAAAGGAACTTTAGTATTTTTACTTTCCCTAAAGAGTCAAAACTTTAATTCTTACAGCAGGAAATTCCTCATTAACATAGGCCTATGGACAAATAATTTTTTCAGAAAATATCAAATCCTAAATTTCTCCCTTGCAATATGAAAAAATTTTGAGTGGTAGTGTCTTTTTAAGCTAGGTGTAGTGGTTTATGCCTATAATAGCAGTACTCAGGAAGCTGAGGCAGGGGGATTGCTTTGAGTTTCTGGTCAGTCTAGGCTGCAAAGTAAGATTAGTATCAAAAAAAAAAAAACCCAGAAGAGGGAAAGGAGAAGGAAGAAGAAAGAGGAAGAGGAGGAGAAGGAAAAAAAGGAAGTGAAAGAAAGGAAGGAAGGAAAGAAGGAAAGGAAGGAAGGAAAGGAAGGGAGGAAGGAACGAAGGAAGGAAGGGAAAGAAATGCTTTCATTTTAAAAGATCATGGAAGCATTCCTGAGATATATGTTATATACAGTGAAGGACACAATTTGTTTTTTGACACAGGGTCTATCTACATAGCCCCAGCTGTCCAGAAACTCACAAAAATCCACCTGCCTTTGTCTCCCAATCACTGAGATTAAAGGTGTCTATGTCAAGATGCCCAGCTACAATTTTTTCTAAGACATGTCTCATGTACCCCAGGGCTGTCTGTGAAATCAGGATTCTTGTGCTCCACCTCCCGAGTGCAGGGATCACAGATAAACCACCACACAAAGTTTTAACATAATGCAGGGGTCAAACCCACAGCTTCTTCATGTGAGCCCTCTACCAACTGAGCTATATCAACAGCCTACAGTGGACCAACCTTATTATTTCCTTACGGAGACAGAGAGAAAAAAACAAAACAAAACAAAAAACAAACAAACAAACAAAAATCACCACCAAGCTTTTTATCCTGAATAGTTTAAAACAAGTCTGTATGTACCCTAATATTATTGGCTCATTTCTTTTCTTTTTTTTTTTTAAAGATTTATTTATTTATTATGTATATGACACTCTGCCTGCATGTTGGCCTGCAAACCAGAAGAGGGCACTAGATCTCATTACAGATGGCTGTGAGCCACCATGTGGCTGCTGGGAATTGAACTCAGGACCTCTGGAAGAGCAGCCAGTGCTCTTAACCACTGAGCCACCTCTCCAGTACGGCTCATTTCATTTCAAGTCTGGATGTATCCTAAAAATTATTGGCTCATTTCAAATCTGGATGTACCCTAAATATTATTGGCTTATTTCATCTTATTTAAATTTTTTATGCACTATATTTTGATTGTATATTTTCTCTTATCCCTTATTCATTTTAAACATGAACTTCAAGCCTTTGGCTAAAATGGGTACCTACAGCTTGAAAAGGGAAAGTTCTGGAAGAAAATGACTAGCTCACCTCTCATGTGAGAGTGACTGATCTTTTATGAAGTCCATGACATCCTTCAGCACTGGGTATTTCTCTTTGACTGTGGGGATTGGCCTGGTCTCCTCCATGGATCTGAAAGAGAGCAGCCGCAGTCGCCCTCGGGTGAAGGCAGGCCGCCGGGTGGGTGTGGATGGCGATGAGGGCTCTTCAGCTGTGGACACTTCTGTAGCAGAGGGGCCACTGCTGGGTGGTAGCTTTGGCTGGGTCTCCAAGCCAGGACTCTTGTCACCACCTGTAGTTGAGGCTGCTGCTTCTGTAGGGGATGCTGAAGCCTGGAAATGCTCTTCCACCACAGAGCTTGTCCTCTGGCGCCTGTCAAGAGGCTGGAGATGATCAGCTTCATCAACAGGCACCAATTTGTCACAGTTTTCTTTTGAACTTTTGCTTGTGGGCAAAAATTTCAGTAATAAAAGACTTTTCTGAATACATTCTTTTGCTAAATGAAAACAAATAAACAAAAACAAGAAAAAGTCAAAATTAAACTTACAATCTACTTTTGGAGAAAGAATAATCTATTTCAACTTCATGACTAATGGCAAGAAATACCGTCTCGAGAGCTGTTACATGTGCACCTACTGACAGAACAGAATCAGGTCTTCTCTCACTGTACAAACCACAATCTTACCATGAGTATAGCGCACGTCCTAAAGTTTTACAGACATGATCATTTCGAACACATCTAGATACAGCAATAGAAGGGCCCTGCTATAAACCCAATACTCAGTCTCAATGATTATCAACCACAGCCAATCTGGTGTCCTATTCCCTCTCCCTGATAACTTGCACACAGCTTTTCCTGTCACTGCACTTTCATCTGTAAATATTTTATAAACACAGTACAGCCAGGCTGGAGAGATAGCTCAGCGGCTAAGAGTGCAAACTATTCTTGCAGAGGATCAGAGTTTGACTCCCAGACTGACATCAGGCAGCTTACAACTTTTTGTAACTCTAGCTCGAGGGGATCAGAAACACTCCATGGGCACTGCACTCATGTGCACATACCCACAGACAAACGCATATATATATATATATATATATATATATATATATATATATATATATATATACACACACACATGTA